CCCCTCGCTGGGGTCTTGGTTGAAGGACCCTACAGGTTGCTCCCATCGGTGCTGCTCTTCCACGTTGCCACTTTGATTGCCGAAGGTCTTGCACATTGCCATCGGCCCTTGACAAATCCTACTGCCTCGGGAGTCCTTCTTCTGTCATCCCGGCGTGCTCAAGCTCCAGCACGATCCAGTCCCTCAACGATACTCCACGGAGATCTTCCAGCGAGTCCTTGCTGCAATTCCCTCCAACGATCAAGCAGCCATCCTTCTCGCGAGCCTCGCCGCGGATAGCCCCGAGCCTGCTGACCCGACGCTGCCGCGCTAACCGCTACTTGCTCACAGCCAGACCTGTGGCTGTGAGCTCCTTCGCCGCGAGCCACCCCGACGATGTTGCCGTCCGCTGAGCCTGACGTTGCTGTTGAGCCGAGCCCGACATGCCTGCTGCCTGTCGAACCAAGCCTGCCTAGCCGATGTTGCTGGTCGAGCCCGCTGAGCTGCTGCTGCCTTGCTTGACGTAGGGCTTGCTGCCGATCTGACGCTGCTACCACCGTGGTGCCTGTGAGCGCGAAGCCTATCCAACCTACCCCACCGCTGCTATCGTTCGCCGCTGCCGCCGTCGGCACCCCGTTCTGATCCGCAAGCCTGAGCCCAACCCGAATTCGAATTTGGAAGCTATCGCAAATTAGGTAAGATTATTTTCCGAATATTTCTTTTAAATATTTTATTTCCTAATTTTCGGGTGTTTGAAAATATTACGAATATTCTGTGGATCACTTCATATCTTAAGATAATGTATGTGATATCTGCTATATTTTAAGATACCCCGTATTAGGAATTTTTTCTAATTCAGCAATGTGCCTGGACGACTATCTAATCTTAAGGTTAAGGTACGATACGCGGTGGTACAAAAAGATCATTATCTTATCCATAACCGCTTGGATATGATAATGGATCTTATCTACTTTTCAAATTCAAATAGTTGGCTTTCTATCGATATTTATAACCCTATAGATATGACTGACCGTTAGTTCAATTATCTTTCCTCATTCAAAAGAAGAATCTTGCGGAATGCTTTGATTGTTTGAGTGCGGTTGTTATTTTTGTTTGATTGCTTTCTTTTTTAAATAAAGAAAATCCAAAAATATGTTAGTTAGAATTAAAATTAGAAGTTTTGCATGTTTAGGGAATCCTAAATGTATCTAGAAGATAAGATAATTATTTAATTTAAATTGGGACTTAAGATAATTTATTTCCTAGTTTAAATTAGGTGTTATTCTCATCTTAATAGATTATTTAGTTTTTTTTAAGATTCCGAATTTCCATGAAAATCCCAAAAAAAAAAAGTTACTTTAGGATAGCCTAGGCTAGATTGCATTCTTAATTTGAGTAATTTTTAATTTAGAATTTTAATAAAAAATACCAAAAAAAGAAGTTGTTTTAGAATAAATAAAGTTGTTTTTTAGAATAGACTGCATGTTAATTTAGGCATTTTTTTTTAATTCCAAATTTCATGTGAAAAATACCAAAAATACATCATTTTCCGTCATTAGAATTAGGTCATGTCGTCGCATGTCATATAGTTTACATGCTAGGTTTCATTAATCGCATGTCCATTTTTTGCACTTCATTGCATATAGGTTAGGTTGCATTTTAATAAAGCGCAAACCCTAAATAATACCTTGAATGCCTTGCTTTGTTAATTATAAATCATATTAAGATTATCTGTGTGATTTTCTACTAACAATATAGATGGTTGCATAGTATTAAGGTACGTTATTATCATAATCTAGCAATTTATTTACCGCTTTCCTTATTGGGTGTTAAATTGATGGTTTGCGCACCCGCATAGTTACCCCCACATGTTAGTATCTAGATAATAAAATGGATCCAAATTGCCTGCTTAAACATTTTTTTTGAAAAAAAAAGTACCAAAAGGGTGTTGACTAGATCTAGCGTAATCAAGTCTCCGGGCTTAGAATCTCTGGTTCATAGAAATAAAACATATCTCCCAATATTTTATTTAGGTTTCTAATCGACCTATCGCAAATAGATTAGTAGCGACTCCAAGCATGAAAACTTTTATATGTTAAAAACTTTAACCCTAAGTCGCGAATTAATAAGGCTTGAGAGGGTCCGAATTAGGTTTAGTCTTAATAATCCATTAGCCCGAGGAATAGAGATCGCGACAGCCGTCCTTCCCCTAAATTGCCCTCATATACACAGATTGTGGGCTTCGGTGATTCTGCCTTCTAGGATCCCTGCTCCGGGCTTAAGCTCGTTTCTAACTTATTGGGGGCGATTCTACGGTCCCTAATGATAAAAAGGGGAAACTCCATCCCGGGTGCAAAATTGACGTACAGCCAATTACTTGTAGTTGACTTTCGTCGCAGACAATTTACGGATTCAAAAGATAATTTATGAGCCGCAAGATAACTTTTGCATTTATATATAATTACAAACATAGAGGTAAATTAAAGACGTTGAAACTAATTTTACGGATAGAAAATATAACCTACGAAAATCATTTTGCATTTTTGATACAATAGTATGTTGCTACGATTTGGCTTTGTCAGCAATTTTCTGAGAATAAGTATAATTTAGATCATCAAGGATTAGCAGTCACTCAATTTGCTAATTACAAGGAAATTACTTCTTTAAATATTGGGTAAATTACTACTTTGAATTATTTTCTACAAGGTAGATGACAGTCTTCAGAGATTTTACCGCCTTGAAGGTGAATTACTCATTTTGCAACATGAGAATGCTTACACTTAGTAATTTCCTAATGACATAGTAAATTACCTCAAACCATTGCGACTGGTATACTATTTGGTAATTAACCTAAAGCTTTGGTAAATTGGCTAAACTCATAATAATCTGATTGCATTTATTGTTCATTAAATTTTGTTAAAACAGTGACATCCATATACACCGTTTAAATTGAGGATGTTGTCACTAGTAATTATCCAGTAATATTATAATTTTCTTCAATTAGTCACAATCGGTAGTTGGTTATTTTGCATTTTCCCATTATTAGTAATAACTTCCTTTTATAATTTGTAACTCGACGATGGAATTATTAAATAATCGTGCTAAGGGTAATTTTCCTCAACCGGTCATAACTTGTAGTTCCTGTCCTTAATGAATATACTTCCAACAACCGTAATTAGCTTGAGATCATCACGATCTCAATTGCATGTCTAGTTGGTAGTTTCCCTTTCTGTGCGGTAATTGGCCTATACAATTCGAGAATTTCCTATCACTTAGCAATGAACTAATGGGATGGTAAGGTACTTGAAATTTTCGTGAGAGGCACAACTTACAATCAATAATTAACCACGATTATCGTAAATTAATCCTAAGTCCTTGTAAATGGTAGTTAGTACTCTACCTTTATAAATAGTTCCTCAAGTTATCATAAGCTCAAAGGTCTTAATAATCGTAAACTTTTTTTTAGAAATACTAAGCAACCTAAAGCGATGTAGTCCAAGCTCGACTACTCAAACAACAAGATTGGGAGAGTGACTTACACACACGAAAAACTCCTACACAAAATGAGTAGAAATTTCAGTTCTGCGCTAGCTTAGGAAAATGGTCGTAACTTTCTCGATTCAGATTGGAATGACCTAATTCCAATGCCAAAAGTATGAATACTCTTGGATCTACAACTTTTATGCTTTGAGTTTTCTTAGATGAGTACTTTAGGAAGGTCGAAATTGGGGAGGAAGTGGACGAATGAGAATTGATGGAATGATGAAAAGGATAAGAACTTCAATGGTTGCTCTTCTAGGCCTATATGAAAGTTGAAATGGCATCAATACTTCTAGGTTGATGGCTACAACTCTTTAAGGATGTAAACTTTAAATGCTCCGACTCTTCAAGGATGGAGTGAAAACTCTTCTAGGTTTTTAAGGGGTATGAACTCTTCGAGAGAATTGCACTAAGCAAATTTCATTATTCAAATTCAGTCTACTTTCTACATAAACTTGATGTCCTTTTATAGCAACACAAAAGAAAAGCAAAAGACTAAAGTCAAACATAGAAACTAGGAATACTTAGAAACTGTGAGCTATTATAAGTACAATATTTCCAATGCTTGTGGTTGTCCCAAAGTGCCTTGTTGCAAGCTTCCAATGCATGAGAAATGACAAAGTCTTTGTGACGTAGTTAAAGATAAGACCCTTGCCGGTGAGGGACTTGCCGATGAGAGCTTATCAATATTATGCTTATCGATGAGAGACTCGTCGAGTTTGAATGCGGGCTGATCTTCTTGGCTGAGTGAGCTGGTCTTGAATACGGACTGCATCTTATCATTGTAACTTTCTCTTTCTCTTTCATTAGTATTTTCCCTATCCTTAGTAAATTTACATAAATGATCCTTGCATTCTTTTCAAATTCGTAAAATGCAGCTTATCCATAAGTAATAATGCTTTTGATTGTCATGATTTTCCTTAATTAATCGTAAAACTTACAATTCCACCGGAACAAACTTCCTTGATTGTCAATAAATTACCGCTTAAACATGTTCAGGTTACACTTTTTAAAATGGGTTAATATCACGAAAAATCCTAAACTGGTACATTTGTGACAAAATTTACTCCAAACTAATTTTTTGACTACCAAAATCCTCAAACTAGTACACCTGCGACAAATTTACCCTCTGTTGGTTTCCGTTAAATTGCTGAGTTAGATGACACGTGACAGTTGACGGATGTACTAGTTTGGGGTTTTACCTCTCTGTTTGTCACAGGTTTATCAATTTATTATTTTTCGTGGTATTAATCCAATTTAACGGAAGGTAAATTTGTTACAAGTGTATCAGTTTTGGGTTTTTGGTGGTAAAAAAATTAGTTTGGGGTAAATTTGTCACAAGTGCATCGGTTTAGGGCTTTTCGTGATATTAACCTTTTTAAAATTGATCCCATGGCTGAGATTTTTGGACTTTAAGTCGACTAAATCATATTCTAACCGCCGCAAATTAAATCAAATCAAACAAAACAACCATCCATCATACATCTAAACTTCATCTTTTACATAAATTCAACACGCTTAAAAACATTTATTGTTTTCACTAGCACAAACACACACATGCATACTCAAGCGCATCGTAGCTTGGTTGTCTAATCGGCACACCGAAGAATACATATTGTATAGCATCTCCTCCTGCATGCTCATAGGGCTCAAGGCGCTTCTTCTAGAATCAACACATTTGCAGCGATATACAACCACTAAACCATAAGATCCTCCGGCTTGCGTTCTGTCGAGGCTTTGCGAACCCATTTCTGGACTTTGCGTACCAATTTCAGGATTAAGCGAACAACGTGGCACAGGAAAAGAAGAGCCATCAATACAACCCATGCTAGCACCCCAATTGTAATTGCACCATCGAAAGTTAGTGGTTCTTCCTCTGGTTGGTGGCCAGAAATGGAGATGGGATAAGTTGTAGAAATGGAGATGGCATAAGTCGCCGCCATGAAGGTTATCGCAACCCACATTATCAGCATTGCAATCCACGTGATGATACGACGCTGCTTTAGAGGAAGACCGCTTATGAGAAGTATAATGATGCTAAGCGACGCGACAAAGCTCACCGTGTTACATGTTAAGAAAAGTTTGTAACCGTACGGGTACCTATATGCCATTATGGACTTGCCCACAGTATGCCATGTATTATTTTCATTGCCTGGGACATCGTCTTGCCCAGGGCCGCCAGGAAGGGTAATATTGGAATAACCCACAGTATGCCATGTATTATTTTCATGGCCTGGGACATTGTCTTGCCAAAGGCCACCAGGTGGGGAAATACTGGCTTGGAATGACATGGTAGCTAGCAATGTCGCTACCACCATTAGCGTCTTATGCATACTATTTTGCCACTTTCTCTTTCTTTCCTTTTCGTCCTCTTCCCCTACAGGTGGATGGAAGGTGGTGACCGTGTTACTTGCGTAGCCTAGTCGTCCAGATGGGTCGTGTTTCTCTAAAGTTTGAGGAACAGAAAGCTTAATCTCTGAGGCTCTTCCTGCACTTTCGGCTTGTGCCAATAAACTGAAAGCTGTGAAACCTCTGGAGTTCGTAATGTCTGGGTTTACTCCATTATTAATCAGGAAGTCTATAGTCTGCAGAAGAGTAACAACAGTTACATACATTTCAGGATTAACTTTGGTACTAGTGTTTCAGTCTTGTATTGTTTACGACTATTATTTGGCGCCTTCCCAAGGGACTTGTTGAATCTCTGCTGCTATCTCTAGTTTAATGTTCCTTCTAATCTAGATAAAATTGGCATGAAAATAGCGTGAAGTGTAAAGTTGTTGTTCATTATCTGGACTAGTTACTTCTTTTCCGAATATCATAATCTTCGGGAAAATTGTCTAAAAAGTCCTAAATCTATTGCACTTTTGCCAATTTAGTCCTAAACCTTTTAAGTTTGCTAATTGAGTCCATCTGGCCAATTTTGGCCGCCCAGAGCTGACGTGGACGCCGGCTAGCTAACGCTAACGTGGCAATTTTTTTAATATTTTAATATTTTTTTCGAATTTTTCTTTTTTGGGTTAATACCACCAAAAACCCCAAACTAGTACGCGTGTGACAATTTTACCCCGAACTTTTTTTTTACCACCAAAAACCCTAAACTTGTACACCTGTGACAATTTTACCCCGAACTTTTTTTTTACCACTAAAAACCCTAAACCGGTACACCTGTAACAATTTCACCCCGAATTTATCACAAAAAACCCCAAACTGGTAAATCCGTGATAAATTTACCCTGAACTATTTTTTTGATCACGAAAAACCCCAAACTGGTACACCTGTGACAATTTACCCCGAACTAATAATTTTTTAATATTATTTTTTATTTTTTCAAAAAAAAAAATTTCTTTTTTTTTGGTTCATCTTCAACCTACGGCCGGTCATTTGGGCCAGGCTGGCCGACAGAGGCGAAGCCGGCGAGGTCGGCCCCGCCGGCATTTTGGCGAGCTTGACCATCCGGCGCCGGCAAGTCTCGACCTCGCCGGCGCCGGCGAGGGCCGCCTTGCCGACGTCGGGCGAGGGATGGCCTCACCCGACGCAGGTGAGGGCGGCCCTCGCCCGACTCAGGCGAGGGTTGCAATCGCTGAATCTGGCGAGGGCGACCCTCGCCTGCGTCAGGCGAGGGCTACCCTCGCCCAGCGTCAGGCGAGGGCTACCCTCGCCAGCGTCGGGCGACCCTCGCCGGCGTCGGGCGACCCTCGCCTGCGTCGGGCGAGGGCTGCCCTCGCCGGTGTCGGGCGAGGCTGTCCTCACCCGCCAAGGCAAGGGCTGGCTTCGGCCGACGCTGGCGAGGGCAGCCCTCGCCCGACGCAGGCGAGGGCAGCCCTCGCTCGACGCCGGCGAGGGCGTCTCTCGCCCGACGCCAGCAAGGGCCACCCTCGCCAGTGCCGGCGAGGCCAACCTCACCGCCTTCCGTCTCTGGCCGGTCGCCGGTACGGCGACCGGCCAGAGGTTGAAGATGAAGAAAAAATAAAAGAAAAGAAAAAATAAAAAAATTAATAAATATTCAAAAAAATAAAAAAATAATATTAAAAATTTAGTTTAGAGTAAAATTGTCATATGTATACCAGTTTGGGATTTTTTGTGGTAAGTTCCGGGTAAAATTGTCACAGGTGTACCAGTTTAGGGTTTTTTGTGGTATGTTCGGGGTAAAATTATCACAGGTATACCAGTTTGAGATTTTTTGTGATAAAAAAAAAGTTCGAGGTAAAATTATCACACGCGTACCAGTTTTGGGTTTTTGGTGGTATTATCCCTTTTTTATATTACTTTCCTTTTTTTTTTTTTTCTGGTCTTCTTCCCTCTAGTGAAGCTCACCCTTGCCGGCTGCCCAGCGACAGCAAGGCTGACCTCGCCTAGTGACGGCGAGGTCGACCTCGCCGAATTTGGGCGAGGTCGGCCTTGCCTTGGTTGGACGAGGGAGACCCAAGCGACGGCGAGGCCGACCCAGGCGACTGCGAGGTTAGCCTCGCCTAGCCAAGGCTAGGTGGACCTCGTTGTCACTGGGCGAGGGAGACCCAGGCGACAGCGAGGCTAACCTCGCCGATCTGGACCTCGCCCAACCAATGGCCGGCGACCGGCCAGAGGGAAGAAGACCAGAAAAAAAATAAAAAAGGGAGAAAATAAAAAAAAAATCGAAAAAAATGTTAAAATATTAAAATATTGCCACGTCAGGGTTAGTTGGCACAGTCGGCATCCACGTCAGCTCCAGACGGCCAAAATTGGCCGGATGGACTCAATTAGCAAGAAGTGAAAAGGTTTTGGACTCAATTGGCAAACTTAAAAAGTTTAGGACTGAATTGGCGCAACGGGTTTAAGAATTTTTGGATAATTTTCCCCATAATCTTTGATGAATTATAAATGGATACCTTTTAGCTTCCGAATATTTCTAGGACACAGATATCCTAGAAGGGAAAATAACACAAATAGTCCATTAACTATGGCCTAATGTGCATCGTCCTTGAACTTTTAATTTGTTCAATGTAGTTCTCGAATTAATCCTATATTAGAATATTGTCCAAAAAATCTTAAACTTATTATACAATGGCCAATTCAGTCTTAAACCTTTCAATTGTGCTAATTGAGTACTCAACCTTTTGACAATTTGCCAATTCAGTCTCAAGCCTTTTAATTATGCCAATTTAGTCTTAAACATTTTGACGATTTGCCAATTTAGTTCTAAAGCTTTTGACAATTTGCTAATACAGTCCTTTCGGCCGATTGTCCAAATAATAGGTTTAGATTTAGGACTAAATTTGCAAATCGTCAAAAAATTTAAGACTAAATTGTCACAATTGAAAGGTTTTTGGCTGAATTGTCCATTGTATAATACATTTAGTACTTTTTAGACAATTATCCCATTCCTCAATTTTCAATTTAGTTCCTAAACTTTCAATTTGTTCAATATAGTCCTTCAATTATCCGTGAAAAAAGTCAAATGTTTTCATAATTACACTATTGCTTGGAATTTAAGAATTTTTTTATTTCAATCCATTTCCTAAATCAACAAAAAAATTTCACCTTTTTTACATTTATAAATATTATGATAGTTCTATTTAAGCATATTTTAACTTATGATCTCTATAGTAGCAAAAGTAGAACCTCATTCAAAGTTGTACCAGGTCGATAATCCTGCTATTTTTATTTGCTAATTTACAGATATTACAAAAATTATTGAGAAAACACGAAACAGAAAAACTTGAATTTCTAATCTATCTAAAAAATTAGGAACGAGATTTAGATTAATATAAGTATGAGAAATCTATAATATAAGACTATTGTTGTTAAATATTCTTATGGAAATACTTATTTTAGAGTTGAAAGGATTATGCATCCAATATAACTCTAACCTTTTTACTATGATAGAGATTATAAGTTAAAATACACTTAAATGGAACTATATTAATATTTGTAAAAATAAAAAAGGAAAAAAAGATAATAAAAAAACAAAATATATTTTGTTGATTTAGGAAATTGATTGAAACGAAAAGATATTTCAAAATTTGGGTAATGGTGAAATTGTGAAAACTTGTAAATAGTATCGAATGACTTATTTGACTTTCCTATGGAAAGTTGAGAGACTAGATCAAACAAATTGAAAGTTTAAGGACTAGATCAAACATTTATGAATTATTCAATGACTAAGTCGAATAAATTAAAAGTCCAAAATATGACATTATATATTGGGTCAAAGTTTAAGTACTATTGTGTCATTTTCTCCCATCCTAGAACCGCCTCTTTTGTTGATAAGCTCATTGAATTTGACTAATACAGAGGCTTGGTTGTATGAACATACCTCAGTTTGTCTATCTGCAGCAGCCAAATGCAAAATCGAGTCGTCATATTCGTCCCTCGAGTTGATGAACTGCTCATCGCCCAAGATATCCATCAAAAGCTTCAAAGTTTCTAGTCTGTTGTGCTTCACGCATAAATGCAAGATCGTCTGGCCATGTTCAACGACACTACGGGCTGCATCAGGTCTCGCACGAACCAAGATTTCCAACACATCCACATGCCCTTTCATGGCAGCGACATGAAGAGGGTTTCTTTTGTATTTGTCGCGGACGAAACATATTTCAGGGCTGACTCCTAACAAGCTTTCCACTACTTTAAGGTACCCTTTTGCTGCCGCGAGATGAAGAGGCGTGGATCTCTGAGAATCCTGCTCTCTAGCCAGCTCGGGCTTCCGAGCTAGGACCTCTTCCACGAATTCCAAGTGTCCAAGCATGGCTGCGATGTGCAGAGGAGTCTCGGTGTGATTCCCGGTCAAGATTCTATCGAGAAGCAGCTTATCTTTTCGGAGCAAATCAAGCAAAGAATGTACGTTTCCTTTCAGGGCGGCTTCGTAGAGCTCTGACTCCATGTTTGGCTCTCTAAAATGGGAGTTTCGGAGTACTTACTACTCCATTTGGGGACTTGAATATATATTGTCACGACCAAGTCAACCTTCACGGTGGGCTTGACGAAGACCCAAAAACGATTGGTAGATATCTGTCATGTGCAAGTATGTGGGCTCAAGTCTCCGCTGAGCCTTGACATCCTTTGATCATGTAAGGCAGCCACACTCTAGTCATGAAAATTTTATCGTCAAATAATTTCATACACACGAACATGTAATTACTTTGAAAGGACATGAAGTGACAGAAACGATCTTTACACTGAGGCTCGCTCAATCGGGATGAGTCGTAACCTAGGCACTTTCAGAGAGATTATTCTTCCATATGGTTTGTGTTAGGAAGATGGTGACAATAAGAATAGTATCATTAGCACGTAAGGAGTCGGTTTTCTCAACACGGTAATCCCAAGTGATTTCGAGCTTGCAAATGGTTTAAGCTACCATTCCCACAAAGTGCTTTTCTTATGGTATGCTCCCTCTAAAACACAGGCAATAGCTTTGCCATGTCAGCTGTTGACGCGGTACTATGAACACGTGTCAATTTGTAAATGGATCTAAGCAGATAAATCCTCACTACATTAGCTGCTGTCGTGGTACTATACAACACCGAATATTTTCTCAAACCATAAAAAATATTCCCCAGCCACCACAGAAATGGTTTTCTCATTTAGATGAAATGCCTTGGATGTTTCGGAACACAAACGCTTGGCAGATGTAGCTGGCGGCTCTATAGACCCAGTCATACTTGGCAGCGCAGATTGGTCATAGACATTTGCAATCTACTTACGACTGGTTTTCGACGGAATCAAGAAGTGTTAAATATGTCTTAAATTTTATGTACTCGGACCGGTTCATCACCCGACCCGACATATTTTTTATGCGACCCAAAAATGGAGAAAAAATTGAGATTTAGTTCGTGATGAGAAAGGGTTGGGCTGATAGGTCCAACCTGGAGCAAGCGAACAAATCTCTATGGCGGTCCGCCCAAGCTGGAGCAAGCAAACAGATGTCTTGGGGAGTTCGGGGGCTATGCCCCTTTGGAAATTTTTTGGGGAGCCCTATTTATACCGCGGCTAGGTTTTTTCATTGAAGAAGGGAGATTTTCGTTTTGGAAGAGATTTGTGAGCGGTGAGGTTTTGTCAAGTCGTTTTTTCGACTTCTGAAAATTATACTCTCTTTGATTATGGTGGAATCTTGTTTTGCATCGCCCGTGGACGTAGATCACGTTGCGATCGAACCACGTAAATCCTTGTTTTTTATATTTGCTTTGCCGCGTTGATTTCCAACAAGAAGAAACCCGCGGTCTCTTCTTCGACTTCGTTTGTGCGAAAACGAATTTTGATATGTTTGAAAGTCCTTGCCGTAAATTGCACTGAAGGAAGCTCCCTTTCACTTGATCGTCACTTCTCTCGCAATACTCCATTGCGACATGTTCTTCCCTCAAGCCACGACAAGACATTTGTCACACAATCCTTGGACGTGATTGGCTAAGATAAAAGACCCCAATTCTCTACGGTACTTTCGCGGAACAATCAGAGACATGTCGACACCATTCCACTCCGTTTCGCCGAACAATCAGAGCTCATGTTATGGTCTTATATGGGCCTGCACATCAATTCTTCAGCAAGATTATTCAACTTTCTGGATTGTTGTTGGAATTTGTGATTCGATTTCTAGAATAGTGTAGCATGCAGAAATATCTGTAGAATACTAGAGAACTCTGGATGTATACTACGAAAAATCTAATCTTTGGAGGAAGGTGAAGTTTGTGGTTCTAGCTTAGTTTGTGGCGTTTAGGAATTGTGGTGAAAATCTTCCAAGGCATGCAGTGGATGTGCTCTATAAATAGAGCTTGGATTGATCGTGGCGGTGAGCTGGGGAATAGAGCTTGCAAAGCTTTTCATCCCTTAATCTACTCCTCCCCCAACACCATTTGGAAGACCGTTTCCATACACCACTGAAATTATATTTCCTCCTCCCATAGCATTGAGCACACGACTATCCCCTTGTCATCTTGTCCTCCTCTGCCAAATATATCCCGCGCACATATACACTTGCACATTCAAATCACAAACTATCGGTGGTATCGAAAGCACGCTCCCAAAATCAACAATTGTGTTGGGGCGAAGCTTGATACGAGCAATAGGGTCGCAAGTTCATTTACGGCTAGTCTTTCCACCAAAATAGTCGCAAATGATTTGGAGCTAGCAAAATAATTTAAGCACAATCAGCAAGCAGCATTTGATTGCCCGTTTCTGTTCAAACACCAACGTGTTTTTATGCATCTCGTGGGTCTGTGCAGAGATTCATTTACTTGGAGGCATGATCAGCAAAAGGAAATGATCATAAATTGGAGAAGGGAAAGCCAAAATAGTCTGAATCAATTTGCCCTACTAAGTTTCTTCCCAGATAGAAAGAGCAAGAAAACCGAGTCATGTGACGAAATTAAGCATGTTACCCGCATCACTTGCTCCACTGCATTCAGAAGGCATTGCAAAGAATTCTTGAGAAAGTTCCGATTCTTCCTCTCATGACCGATGTAAAAATTTAGTTGGCACGTAATCTTTTATTTTGACATTCAATTTTTTAACAACAAAGGTGGCGAGCAATGTACATTAGGAGGACGGAGATCCTCCGCGCCCATTGCTGGGGACGTCGCGGGGCACGTTTGGTTGGGCCACGCCACGATGTGGATTTTGATCCTGTCCATAGTGTCGATGACTACGGTGACGACTTCTTTGATGTCACTCTGCGCACAGCGGTACATTTAAAGGCATTAGGCTTTTCCCTGTTGGGGAAATAAAGTTAAATTTTGAGGCATGATAACACTTTATTTAAGGAATTATTTGCTCCCACGACGTTGCTAATGGTTAATGGTAAAAATCCTTCATGATATAATAAAGTCTCAATGAGAATAATAGATAGCAATTCCGGTATTTCTCTAGGATCTCTCAAAAGAAAACAATTTAAAACTATGACTGTATATCTTTAGAAAGAAAACGAAATTGGAAGAACATGATCATTGTTGAACAGACACGTTGAGTAATTAATAGAAAAAAACAAGAAGTTATATCCGAACAGACACAATTCGGAAATTTTTTTGGGGAGCCCTATTTATACCGCGGCTAGGTTTTTTCATTGAAGAAGGGAGATTTTCGTTTTGGAAGAGATTTGTGAGCGGTGAGGTTTTGTCAAGTCGTTTTTCGACTTCTGAAAATTATCTCTCTTTGATTATGGTGGAATCTTGTTTTGCATCGCCCGTGGACGTAGATCACGTTGCGATCGAACCACGTAAATCCTTGTTTTTTATATTTGCTTTGCCGCGTTGATTTCCAACAAGAAGAAACCCGCGGTCTCTTCTTCGACTTCGTTTGTGCGAAAACGAATTTTGATATGTTTGAAAGTCCTTGCCGTAAATTGCACTGAAGGAAGCTCCCTTTCACTTGATCGTCACTTCTCTCGCAATACTCCATTGCGACATGTTCTTCCCTCAAGCCACGACAAGACATTTGTCACACAATCCTTGGACGTGATTGGCTAAGATAAAAGACCCCAATTCTCTACGGTACTTTCGCGGAACAATCAGAGACATGTCGACACCATTCCACTCCGTTTCGCCGAACAATCAGAGCTCATGTTATGGTCTTATATGGGCCTGCACATCAATTCTTCAGCAAGATTATTCAACTTTCTGGATTGTTGTTGGAATTTGTGATTCGATTTCTAGAATAGTGTAGCATGCAGAAATATCTGTAGAATACTAGAGAACTCTGGATGTATACTACGAAAAATCTAATCTTTGGAGGAAGGTGAAGTTTGTGGTTCTAGCTTAGTTTGTGGCGTTTAGGAATTGTGGTGAAAATCTTCCAAGGCATGCAGTGGATGTGCTCTATAAATAGAGCTTGGATTGATCGTGGCGGTGAGCTGGGGAATAGAGCTTGCAAAGCTTTTCATCCCTTAATCTACTCCTCCCCCAACACCATTTGGAAGACCGTTTCCATACACCACTGAAATTATATTTCCTCCTCCCATAGCATTGAGCACACGACTATCCCCTTGTCATCTTGTCCTCCTCTGCCAAATATATCCGCGCACATATACACTTGCACATTCAAATCACAAACTATCGGTGGTATCGAAAGCACGCTCCCAAAATCAACAATTGTGTTGGGGCGAAGCTTGATACGAGCAATAGGGTCGCAAGTTCATTTACGGCTAGTCTTTCCACCAAAATAGTCGCAAATGATTTGGAGCTAGCAAAATAATTTAAGCACAATCAGCAAGCAGCATTTGATTGCCCGTTTCTGTTCAAACACCAACGTGTTTTTATGCATCTCGTGGGTCTGTGCAGAGATTCATTTACTTGGAGGCATGATCAGCAAAAGGAAATGATCATAAATTGGAGAAGGGAAAGCCAAAATAGTCTGAATCAATTTGCCCTACTAAGTTTCTTCCCAGATAGAAAGAGCAAGAAAACCGAGTCATGTGACGAAATTAAGCATGTTACCCGCATCACTTGCTCCACTGCATTCAGAAGGCATTGCAAAGAATTCTTGAGAAAGTTCCGATTCTTCCTCTCATGACCGATGTAAAAATTTAGTTGGCACGTAATCTTTTATTTTGACATTCAATTTTTTAACAACAAAGGTGGCGAGCAATGTACATTAGGAGGACGGAGATCCTCCGCGCCCATTGCTGGGGACGTCGCGGGGCACGTTTGGTTGGGCCACGCCACGATGTGGATTTTGATCCTGTCCATAGTGTCGATGACTACGGTGACGACTTCTTTGATGTCACTCTGCGCACAGCGGTACATTTAAAGGCATTAGGCTTTTCCCTGTTGGGGAAATAAAGTTAAATTTTGAGGCATGATAACACTTTATTTAAGGAATTATTTGCTCCCACGACGTTGCTAATGGTTAATGGTAAAAATCCTTCATGATATAATAAAGTCTCAATGAGAATAATAGATAGCAATTCCGGTATTTCTCTAGGATCTCTCAAAAGAAAA